TACCACCAGGCGGTGTGTACCATGAAAGCGATACCGTGCCTACGTTTGGTATTTCACTCCCGGTAAAGACAAACTGGAGAAGCTATTAGCAGGGTGAATGGGATAGTGGGGGTAGCGATAATACAAACCTGTTCGGCAGATCTTCTGTCCTTAAAGGTGATGATCTGAGTGTCATCCTTCTCAGGATGCGGCTCAATTCCTTCAACCTCGAGTCCCGTGTTCTACTCCAATGTCAGTCTCAAAGCTGTGTGTAAGGGCTTGGCCAGCGCATACCATCAGATAATGCCTAAAGTCTTCGTCTTTCTCGCCCTTGAGGTCTGGCGCACTGATGGCAACCCTCTTAGGCCGGTTGTCCAACTTCAATGTACCGCCTCTCCCTCTCGCAGCTTGGAACCCCCCGGGTTGAAATCCCCCACGGCCTCTGTATGTTCCATAAGGACTGTACGGCGCGCCTCTGCCTCTGGGTATGTAACCGCCCCTGCCACCTCTAGGTGCAAATCGCCCTCTGCCTCTACCCCGTCCTCTGAATCCCTCAAGATCAAATTCCTCTCCGGTATTCCCCTCAATTCCCAAGGCCCTCGCTTCTGCTTCTAACGCTTCCAACTGCGCCTTCAACGCAGCCGTCGAAGCGGCATCCTTCGGAGCAGCAGTCCCCCCATTACTTGTCGGCGCAGGGCTTGCGCTCTTTGCCCCTTCTTCCGTCTTAGGCGGGGGAGATGCAGAAGGTGCTGCTGAGGCCTGACCAGCAATCTTCTTATTCAGTTTTTCCATGAGCTTCCTCTTCTCTTCCATCTGCAGTTTCAGCAGCTCCTCTTTCCGTTTTTCGAGCTCTTTGGCCGCTTCTTCGTTCGCCTTCTTCTTTGCCATCTTAGCTTCATACGCTTTTTGCGCTTCTTCCTGCCGCTGCTTGAACTCCTCCATATCGATCTCCTCATCGTCATTAAGGTGATTCCGAGTATCCATAGGCTCTGCAGAGCCGTGGTGCGCACCAGCGCCGTTGGGATTGGCGGCCGCCCCGGGCTCAGGCTTGTACCAGAATACTTTTACGAAGCGGTTATCAAAAATAGGCGCAGGTGAGTCGTAAGCCTTCTTTGCCATTGACCAACGCTCAAACGATACAGTTGCGAGGTGCTTATGGGGCTGGACGTCAATGTTGGTCACGGTTCCGAAGCTTGAAAAGAAGTCGCGGACAGAGCCTTCTGTCAGCTTGTCGTCGGGAATGTGCTCGACTACTAGTGTCATGTTTGAGCGATCATACGAAGGGCCCATTCCGGATATTTCAGAGCGGCCACCACGGCCGCCACGAGTACCACCTCGTCCACGGTGGGGGCGGTCTTGACGGGGGGGTCGGTCGGAGGGAGCTTTAGAATTAGTGAATAATTGTGAGTTGTTTGGGTCGTATTCTAGATTGTCCCCCGGTCAGCCACAACTGATTACACGCAGAGTTCGTCTAAAAATTGAATTGAAAACTTACCTTCTGCTGCAGCATCCTCCCCCGGAACCACAATGTGGTCTGTACCGTGCTCATACGGGCACATATCACCCTTCATACAGAAACCCTTCTCGTCATAGTCCTTACAGCGCTCTCCAATCTTTTTCACAATCTTTTTCTCCTCACCTGGCTTCGCTCCCGGCATCGCACCCATTACAGGCGGGAAGCCCCATGCCGCCGCCGCCTGTGCAGCCAAAAACGCTGCCATCGGATCGTTTGGATTTGGCACTGCCCATGGGAATCCTGGTGGCGGTGGCATCCCCGGCATGGCGAACGGCATCGGCGCCGGCGGCCCGGGCGGAGGAGGAACAAAGTGACTATCTGGCTGTGGCGTTACAGGCTGCTGATGCTGTTGCGCCGGTGAATGCGGGCCCTGATATCCTCCTCTCGCAGGAGCCCCGGCAGGGTCGCCTCTCGTCCATCTACCCGGTCCCGAGGCCCCAGCGCGGCGCGGTGCCTTGAATCCCCGACTGCTATTACTGCTGTTCTGACCGTAGTGACCGTCTTGCCCCCTTCCGCCGTCCCGATCGCGATCAAAATAACCTCGCTTCTGTCCACGTGATTCGCGGTCGTCCCGCTCTCTCCTGTAATCCGAGCTTTGGGAAGACTCTCTTTCCAGTAGTGGTGCAGGTGGTGATGGTGGGAGAATTGAAACGCCAGCCGAGCCGGCGAGGGTAGAATTTACGGAGATAAAACTCTTTGTTTTCAGAGTGAGGAAGACATCATTGACGAATTGTTCCGTGTCTAAAATGTTTGCCCCCCGATCAATCCTCCGAACAAAACACACAACAAAGGATGGAAGCGAGATGGGGGGAGGGATCAATTACGTTCGCGCAGGAAATCATCAAGCTGTTCGATACATAGTTTCTTAACCTCATCGTCAACTTGATCGTGCCGTAAGAGTGCTAATACGTAGTCCGCAAGTACGTCCGAGTCCGCATCAGAGCTATGGCCATTCACAGTCAGCTCTCGATTCGCGCTGTTTCATCTAATTGAACCATCGCATCATCACCCCCGACAACAGCTAGGATATCGATAACGCAATGGAGGGGATCTGAGAACATACATATCCTCCAACCGCTTCACAATCCACTTCTTGAGCAGAGCTGCATCCCCGTCGTCGAACAACATCATAGCGCTCCCGCAGGTAGACGGCAAGCAATCGAGAGGCAGAGAGTTAAACTCGGGGCTAGGGGAAGGATGGGAGGGAGGGGGGTGGGTGAGATCGAGATGATTGATGGGGAACAGCGGACGAGATGGATGGGCGCGTGTTTGTAGTATCGAACTTTCAGGCTTCCTTTTTGGATCCCTGGGAGTAGAGAGGGGCGTGTGGGTAGATGTTTGGGGGGTTTGGTAGTTTGAGTAGTGGCTGGCAGGTACTGGCTGGATGCTTGGGACGTAAAGGCGTTCTTTTTTTTTCCCCGAGAAAGTGAAAGGTGCCAAGACAGACCCCCCCGGAGGTTTCAATCGCGTCCCGAGTGTCAACACCTCCCGCGAAATATCAAAGGGGATTTCAACCAATCAAGAGAGACTTGTGTTCTTTTTCCATTATTTAAAATTCCCTTGATGGTAAATTGCCCAGTTTTTCCAGGACCAACAACAAACAAAAAAGGGACCGATGGAAGTCTAGGTAAGCAGCCGTGAGGAGGCAGATCGAGCCCTCTTCCCTGATGACGTAGTTTTCAATTGTCGTGATAATAATCCCCATGTACCCACCCTCTCTCGCTCTCTTATCACTGTCCTGACAACACAAAAGCACAGAAGGGCAGGGTGTCTATCCTTACCAGTAGCATGCACCATATTGTATTACGCCACGTGGTTGACATACTTTACTGGGAAGGAACAAACAAACGGTTGACATGCTTAACCCTCCAGTTCCCATGAGAGTCCATCGCTGTGATCGGTCCTTTGTACGATATTGATTCTGGATTATCCCAGGAACAGTGCCATGATGACCAAAACACTTGCGTAAACAAGTAGCTGATAGTTCGAAATCAGTTGGGCGCAATCATCACGCTATCCAAGGCACCATCTCATGGCCGATCCAGGACGGCAAAAGAAATATAGAGAGCCTCGACGTTCTTCTGCCGCCAATATCGATGTCACTAAGGACAGGCCCAAGATCATCCATGTAAATTATGCCTGTCCCCACCCCCCACCCTTCTCGAGAGAAAAAGGAAATAAGATACCTTATGCAGTTATGGCTCCGTCGAAACAATCTTCAGAGCGGTAACTTAAGCTGTTGTCTCCATAGCAACGGTTTACAACCCGTCAGACTTTGTTATGACCTTGACTATTTACTACCATAAGTACCTGTTTACGGTCCCATTGGCATATCGAGAAAGTGTAGACCCGTTTATTCCAGCACTTTTTTCTCAGTATTGTCCGGCCAAAGATCTATACTTGAAACTGCCCAATGGGCTCTGTCCATCTTTTAAACACTTTGTTTACCTGTTTGTTTGCAAACAAACGCGACCTACATGCAGGAGTCAGTCTCAAAACAGTCAATAAGAAAAGTGAAGATTATTAAAGGGTACTATTCCAAACATCTTATACTCAATGTATCTATCCGTACCACTAATACAATCTGCCCATATTTAGGCACCATGCATGCAATCACAATCGATCACTCGGCCACCCGCAACCGACTCTACAAATCAAAAAACCAAGAAATGTTTCTCCATACAGTCTGAAACAAAAACTTAACCTTCTTTTATGATTTTTCGCCTTTTGAGTAACTTTCACTCGGCCCATTCTGCATCATAGTCCCTCACTCGACCTTGGCAACCGCCCCCTTCCTTCCACCACATGCGACCATCCGGCACAACCACGGAAAGCCACATCCACATATGAGACCCGTTATATAACAATAAGTTTAATATCCCAATCCCTGTATATTAAGAAATATCTAATCCACAAAGTGAGTATGTACAAACAATTGTCATTAACTATCAGTTGTTCGGCGCGAAAATTCCATTTCATCAGGTCATTCTCCTTCCTGCTATGTAGGATCAATCATCCAAAGAAACTGCAAAAGAGAATGAAAAAAGAAAGAAAGTAGTAAAAAAAAAAAAGAGTCCCAGTCCAAGTATGCAAGCGGGTATTTGAAAGGAATGGTATGACGGAACGAGACAATGATATAGGAGATACAACTAGATAAGGGGAAAGAAGCAAGGAAATATGAAAGAAAAAAGACGAGAGCCCCTAAAACACGCCTACAACCATGGAAAAAACATAGATAACTGTTAGAGGTAAAATACCGGACAACGAGGTCGTATCCTGCCGTTAAAACTCCCAATTTCCAGCACAAGTCCCACCCGCAATCCCCAAAAGAAAAGAAAAGAAAAAGAAAAAAAATTGAAGGGTTAGATTAAAAAGCCCATAGAACCCGCGCCCACCCTCGACCCTAAGTGTTTCCCTAGCGTCGTATTCAAGAAAGGTCCAAAATAAACAGTGAATGGTAAAAAGAAGGATAAAGAAAGGGAATAGTGCACCAGCAGTAATCAAGTCAATAACCCCCCATTCCCGCCACTCCTCGGGCCGCCGGTGATGGCGCAGTCGCGCCGCCCCCCCCAATACTCCCCATTCTACCTCTTCCATGAGCCGATTTAGATAACCCACCATCATTTTCTCCTCTCTGGCGCCCACTACGATCCGCAGAACTGACATCGTCAAATCTGGATCGCCCCTCGCGGCCTCCACCTCCAGCTCTTGCGTTCACGGAATCCGGACCAGTTTCCTCATCCGTTGCATCATCTTCCTCCACGACCCCAGGCCCTATGGCCACGCCAATCCCATCTAGTCCTAGTCTAGCCTGCTTATGACGCGGTCTGTCGCGTGGCCACGTGGTCGCGTTGCGTGCATAATTGTGCCTTGAACGCGATGGGTTGTGAGGTGACGGCGAAGGGTGAAAGGTTGCTACGGGAGGCTGTGAATGCTGCGAGTGTTGGGAATTCTGCGAATTCTGAGAATTGTGCATAGAAATTGCTTGCTGAGATGAAGGGCGGGAGTTGCCTGGTGAGGACAAGAACATCAAGCTTTCTACCGCGTCCTGCTCCATGGTTCGCTGTGCTGCAGCTCCTGCTGGTGGGGGTGTATTTGCCACCATTGACACGGATGAAGCCGTGGAATAATTACTATACGTACTTAGGTTACTCCCACTCGGTGTTAACGTTGGAGGGTGTCGGGGAGGGTTGTAGTATGAACGGCGATCACGGTCTGGGATAATCTGTGCCGGAGGTTGAAGTCCTCCCCTATGAATTGTATGAGACATTGGAGCCACTGAATGAGGGGTATTGGTATTGGTAGAGGTTCCTAACGCTTGAGATGCAGCCTTTGCTTGGAGTATTTTGGCGCGTATTGGATTGGCTTGATGGTCCCTCCAAAAAGATTCATATGTTCTACTACCTGTACCACCGCCTCCAGAAAGTGGGCGCGCGGTGTTCGGTTCACTACTGGTTCTTGTGTGCCGCCGAATCGAGTCGAACGCGCCTGCATGCTCATCCCCCGCACTAGGTTCACGTTTTATATGCACGCGTGGGGAAGGCGAGTTGGGGTGCTGCCCTTGCGATATTCGCGCTTCAACTTGGTCTAGAGACTCTGTAGTCCAGTTGTTCTCGAGTTTAAGTAAGGCGTACGTCAAGCGTGTTCGAAGTTGGGTAGAAATCTAAAGCGATCACAAAAAACACATTGTGTAAGGAAAAAGGCCCTCCCCGCAAAAACCGCAAAACAAAAAACAAAAACAGACAACCCATATGAGAAAGACTGGGGATCTTCAGGATTGGCCTATTAGACACACACACCTGTGAAACGTTCTTCGGACTAGCATCAATTCCCGTGTGCATCCTCGCGAACCTTGGTGTTACCGGCGTAGCAGGCGAATTGGGAACAGATGACGCGCTGTTGGGGAACGTGTTCTTGACGGTGCCTGATGCCGTCCGTTTCGACCCTGCGGAGGACACGGCAATAGATGGGCTCGCTGGGAACGGATTATACTGGGGATTCACGCCTGTTGGGTGAATAATAGGCGTGGCTGTCGTTGACATTATCATTGACGGTGGGGGAGAATCACGAGAAGAGTAAGGCGACGAAGGTCGTTCATCTATATCGGGGGAGTCGCGAATGGAAAACGCGGCCGTCGAGGCCTGTGAAAGCGTGCTCGAGTGACTCAGTAACGGAGGTGGGTGGGTGGCCATGTGAGTAGTAGACATTTGAGAATTTGGAGTGAGAGGATGGTGAATATGGTGATGCCGTTGTGGTGTTTCGTAATAGTCCATGGAGGAGAAGGATGACGGAGGGATTTGAGAGGATGGGGGGATGGAGGAGGACTCAGTGCTGCTCTGGGACATGATGGGGTCAATCAGCGGGGATGAAGAGGGGGAGGGGGGGGCACGGGAAGAAGACGAGGGGTAGTGATGGTGGTATAGGATGTAACTGTCTGGGGGGGATGGTGGTGGAGTATAATATGTGTGGGAGTAGCAAGCCTAGAGTTCTTTGGGGGAAGGCGTACGGTAGGTAGGAGGTGAGTTGCAGTACTTGTATTACAGAAGTAGTAGTCGTCAGGGTGGTGTTGACGCGGATGTGGGAGTGTAACTTATATTTAATACGTCGTCCTGGTGACAGAAACACGAAGGTACTGCCGATCGCGATCAGAGTATGGCGTCTACGAGATGTCCGTTTTATCTCTGACGCGAATTAATATATTTTCATCTTGTTTTCCCACTCCTGTTTCCATTCGCTCTGCTCTATTCACGTGTTTTATTGAGAAATTCTCTGGTGTTTTGCCCACCACACGCATGTAAGCTTTCGCCATCTCGAAAGCAACGCGAGAAAATGTTTCCCTCCCCAATGGAGCGAAATCAACTAAAAAACATCCCTTCACACCTCCTCAATTGGGTGCGGCCGCAAGCACGGAAGCAAGCGGATAGGAAGATGTGCTAAGAAGTTCGTGTCCGGCGCGAGCAGCCAACCGACAAGAAGCGAGATCCCGATGTCTGGGGTCCGATATTCGGGGCGGGGGAAAACAAAAAATACCTCTGAAGATCCCCGCCGTTCAAGAAAAAAAGACGCTGTGTAGGGCGTGCAGTGGTGCAGGCAGTCAAAATCCCACTAGCATGTAGCAGATGTGCATCCCCTCCAGGCCCCTCAAATCTGACATGTATGTACCCCCGCTCTTTTCCCTCTATGGAGGGGCGGTAGAATACCGCTCTACTCCCCGCTTGATGAGGAAAATCCCATATCTGGTAGTGGGGGAGGGATATGTGGCTCGCTGGGAGAAAAAAAAAAAGAAAAAGGAAAAACCTCCACTTTTCTTCAACTGCCACGAAGCGTAACGCTTTCTGCCCACGCAGTCACGAGACCTCCTTGGGTGTGTGCGTGGCCGAAACAGACAATAGAGAAAGAAAAAAACTTCCTTGATCCATCGTCTGGCGTCGTGTAAATAAAGTTGATATCGTGCTTTGTACGACGATCTTCGTCACAACATCTGTGTTTATGTGCAACTGACACGGTTTTCCATACGCGCCGTGCTTTAGGCCATTAACGCGTTGTGGGCCAGTGGTATGGCGTCTTCCTGTAAGGAATCTGAGCACGGTAATTCCCGCATCAGATCTGCCAGTTAACTGGTCAGTTAAGCATCCACTCCTGCCTGCACGTGATTTAAGCCAAGCTTTAACCTGCAGATTAACAGGAAACTAGAATCCTTGCTACTGACTGCACTTTCGGGATGGTTCACCAACAGAACGGCTCAGGGCTGATTAACCTAAATGTGCTTGACAACTTAAGCCTCTTGGGTGCATTTCCGAAAAAGAAATATCCCAGGTAGGACAATAATAGTTCTGCCAAGCACCAACTCGCAAATCGGCAAGCTTCCTAGGTTGCGTAGAAAATATTAACAGCACGATAAGGATGATTCGTGGGGAATGCCCAAATAGGAACAAGAACATGTTAAAATAATTTTGCCGGGATTTGTATGGCCAATCAACATGCGGTACCCCCGAGTGATTATCTATGATCTAAACATATTGTGTTCAGAGTTGGGCCAGGCCCTTGAGTGAGCATTGGTATCCGCATAAGATGTCGGCAAATTTATCGAAAAGGCGGCCTATCTTAGCGAGAGATAGAACGCCTGAGCGAGCTGAATTATGAAGTTCCAAGCCAGCGAGTCCGGGAAATTACTACTAGCAGATTAGAAGGAGGGGCCAAGTTCCTCGACAGAATTCAAGACAGTATTGACCCGAAAAGCTCAATTTCAGCTGTGCTCACGGCCACTATGTGACTAGCCTTACTTACTCTTACTGTATTCCGACCTGCTGGCATGTTGTGGGATATTTGAGAGAGGGCGCTATCCACTCATCCGTAGACTGTAGGTTCGGTGAGTTGTTGTGGTTGAACGGCGCGGAGATGTCAGTGGTGATGTGTGGGTGGCGAGAGTGTAGGGTAAATCAGGGTCGTCTGGTGCCCGCCCTTTCAATTGGCTTTATATTTTTAGGCAACACCTGTTATCATACATGTATCCATCAGCTAATACCACACTGCTGCTGTGGCTACATGCGGTTTCCTGCGAAGTTGGCACCACACTCCTCGCACAATAGATGGCAATGGCTGGTAAAACCTTTTATATTTCGTTCGCATACTTGTACTTCGGCGTTCATAGGCCGATCTATAATACCGCCCAAGGCTCGATCATAGGGGATAGGCACGAGACTAACGTTGCCCCGGTCTGGCTGTTTGAGTTAGGCGAGACATTCGAGGCCACCGAGAGATGTCCATCTTTAATCTTAGCCTGCCTAACTCGAACCTGCTGCTGGTAGATGGCGGGGATAATTTCTTAACGACATGTCTTGAACTTTCTGCAATCTCCCTCCTTTCGATCCCTCACCCTGTACGCCAGCATGCATTGCACTTTCTCCACAACCGATATTCTTCTGGCCCCTGATGCCAAATCTGTATATATATAACGCTTTAGACCCGGCGGACAGCCTAAGCTTACAAGACCGCCCACTGTATAGAATACGGACAGAGGCGTTGGCTTGAAAATAATTGTCACCCCGCCAACCCATAAAACAAAAGGCTAATTTACTCCAGGGAAACCCGAGTTAGACTCACTGCCACACACAATGAGTTCTGTAAAGCGAGAGTGAGTAATTCTTATCCTTTTCTTTTAACGCATTTCAATTCTCGACCACGATCAATTTCTCCCGCTGACCAGCTGATCATGCTTTTCTAGGTTAATCTAGGCATATAGGACGCATATTAGGAAAACGCAGCTGAATGGTATCACTAGCTCTACGCGTCTATGGAGAAGCACAATTCCCCTTTCAGAACTCAACAGATGGGGGGTTTCTTCTTCAGAATTCGTCCGAGTGACTTTCCATGAAGAAGGACATGGACACAGCACTCTCGCTTGAGGGTCCATTACCGCATCTTTCAGTTACGCTGGATATAAATCGCCGTTGTTAGGGCTAGACTCGAAGTTATGTATACAGTGATTGTCAAAACTACGTGTGTTGGGTAGCTGCTGATGAACAGGGAAGGAGTCATATGGTACACCTAGCAAAGACCGGTTCGAGAACACCCAGGAGACGGCCGCGTGCATAAGTACAAAACTAACTGTACCCTGGCTTCATGCAGCCACTTTAACTACATGTACCTTTGAATGTATACAGACATTGTGGCCCTTAACCATGGGCGTGGTTAAATGTATCTCCGGCCATTGGTTTTCACCTGCACTAGTGTATATATACGGGCCTGGATATATGTATATTGAACCAGACAAGACGAGATTTAGTGTAAAATGGTCTCGTCTCGTCTCATCCCATCATTAGACATACATTATAGCTTGAAAGGTCTTTTACTCTTCAAACCAGGGATGGCACAGTATCTCCTGCGCGCTTGGTCGATTCTCCGGATCGTACTGTAGAATTTTACGCAGAAGCCCACTTACCACAGTTGCTCCCCCTACGAAATATCCGGGAACCTCTCCTTGAGTATAAAGTCCTCCAAGAGGCATACCGGATGTTTTTCCGCCAAGTCCTCGCCTGGCTCCACGCTCCAGCGGGTCTGGGTTCCATCTTTGCCGTAATATCTCTCCCTACGCGGCCACTTCTGAAGCAAATACTCTAGAGGAGCACCTAAACGGTCGGTAAACTCCATAATATGAACGCCATTGGTTTGTGCATCGTTCTCTGGTGTTTTCTCACCACAACTATCCACCTCAAACACCATAGTTCCTGTCACGAGTTCGCTGGGGAGGTAGCCAAAAGACCAGATGTCGATGCTCTGGTCAAAGGCAAGTCCCAGCACAAGTTCCGGTGCACGAAGGGCAACAGGTGTGACGGGTTCCTCTACTTGATCCAAGGACATAAATGCTAGCTTAGTTTCAATCTCGATTGACCGGTACATAGGTTGATCAAAGACTTACAGGCACCGAAATCTGATATCTTTGCAATAAGGCTCGGTCCAAATTCGCCATATTTTGCGAGGGGCTGCGCCATTGCAAGGTATCGCGGCGCCCACCTATCTTCCCTTCTGTCTAAGCGTTTGATGGGCTCTGAGATGCCGATCCCTTCTTTCATGTCCTGCGCCAGTTCGTGCGCCGGCACACTATCCAGACTCTTCGCGCATAGTAGGATATTTCCACACTGCAAATCACCATGGGTGATGCCGCTATCATACAGGGCATAGCCCGAGCAGGGTATGTCGTAGAATCCTCTTTCTCAGGGATGTAGGACATCGTTTAAGCGACGCGTCGCCTGAGTCGCCGTCTACTTGTGGCTGAAGCATCCAATTGACGCTGGATGCCATTAGTTTAAATACTAAACACAGATGGGTTCCGTTGGGACCTATGTGCCGAAACTTCCCCAAGAGAGCCATGATATAGTTTGAGCCCGGGCATGCTGAGGCCTGCTCAGAAAGACAGTAGTATATGGATAGCTCCTTTTTCCATCCAAATACTTGGCTGTGCATAATTTGAGAGCGATATAACGAAACTTTCTGAGGCTGCGTAAGATGGTCTCCCTATAAAAGTAGGCAGATATAGCAGCTTACTATTTATCAAGCGCTAGCCAAACCGTTGAAAATGATCCCTCCCCAAGTTTGCGCAGAACCTCGTATCGACCGGCATCAAAACTATGTCCGATATGGACCGGGTGATATCTGCCGGGAGAATAAGATTCTACCCACTCCGTGGATGTGACAAGCTTAAAAAATCTCATCTCCAAACCTGTTGGAGTCGCAGGAGGACGTGTAACTATTGTTGCCGAGACAGCGCGATGATGCCGTGTGGCACGGAGGTGATGGTGAAAGGTAGTTGAGTATGTGAATGAAAAGAGGAATCTTGTAGACACCAAGGGTCGGTGGCGTTGCAAATGAATGGAGTGAAGGGCAGCTGTGATCTCTGTCAATGATAATGACAATGGGCAAGGACGGCGGATGAATAACATGACATTAGATACTAGGGTTTGGCCCGGTGTTACCACCGCAAAAAGTGATTGACGACCTATATTTAGAAAGTATGTTTTAACCTGGTATGTAGAGTACCGTGTGAAACTGGGAAATGGGTCATTGGCATACAATTTTGGTTGTGATTACATAGGCCTAGGCCAAATATGTTACTGGTAACAATAATGTCCCTGCTGAAAGCTACTACCTCTTCTTGTAGAGAGTGTACTGAGTTCGTTTATTGGATTCACATTTCATTAATTTATGGCCTGGGTTTAGAGACATACATTCGGCGCTGACTATAATTGTACTGTATACTTTACTGCCTGAATGGGTAACAAGATAAGGGTTAGGAGAAGCTCAGATAAGGCGAAGATAAATGTTTTGTTGGTCTTGAGCGGGCTGGTTACCGAGCAGTTTTGCAAAACGTCTCAAGACCTTCAGCAAATCTGGTTGCTGATATGCCTCATATTCTAGTGCCTTCATAGTATGTAGACAGTAGATTCAGTCGTAGCAATCTCCTCCAATACACATATAAGGTACGTTGGTATAAATTATTGCACATTCAAACATAATCGCAAGGCAGAAGGAGATGTCATGCAAAGCTATTTCGACACAAGTTCTTTATTGAGAAATTCTAGCGCGCTGGAGAATAGGAATGAATCCGTCTCTTATTGTATCAAAAAAGATTTAAGCCGAAAGTACGAAAAAAAATGCACATGCATCCAAAGAGAAAACCAAGAAAGAAAAATGACAACACCAAAGAGAAAAATAAAAGCCCCGCCAATCATATCATCATCGCAACCCTCATGAAACCCTTCCCCATTTTGACATTTTTTTTTTTAAAATAAGAGCTCAATCAGATGAGGGACAAATTACACGTTTTTATTTTTTCCTAGGGAATCATTTAAAGTTTGTCGTAGTAGTTCTCAACACCTGGAACCTCAACCTTGATACCCTTGCGCTTCCTCATCTCCTGGACAATCTGACCGGGCTTGGAAGTTCCGTCAAGAACAGAACCACCAGGAAGAACAGTCCAGTGGTCAAAGACGGACTGAGGGAAGGCCTGTCCACCAGTGTGGGAACGGAGATCGGCAGTGAAACCGAAAGACTCGTTGACGGGAAGGTAGGCCTTAACGTTGAACAAAGGAGTTCCGGGACGCTGCTCCTCAGAGAAGACGTGCCCTCTTCTCCTGGTCAAGACACCGTAGATACCACCCATAGCCTGCTCAGGAACCTGGATCTCGACAAGGTAGATAGGCTCCAAGAGACCAGGGTTGGCAAGAAGGGTAGCGGCGTAGAGGACACGACGGGCAGTGGGGATGATCTGTCCACCACCACGGTGAATAGCATCAGCGTGGAGGGTAACATCCATGATGTTGAAACGGATGCTGCGCATGGGCTCCTCAGCAATGGGTCCCTCACGGGTGGCCCACTGGAAACCGGAAACAACAGAATCCTTGATTTCGTTCAAGTACTGGACAGCCTTGGTCTGATCAACCAACAAGTTGGCACTGTATCAAATGTTAGCAACTAATTAAAGACGGAAGTTGGTTAGAAAATGACATACCCAGAGGTGTCAGGACCGAAACACCAAATCTTACGGGCATCGGTGACATCCCAGCCGTGCTCATCGGCAAGGATACGGGCACGAGCCTTGAAATCGTCACGGGGACCGATCTTTCCGGACTCGATGTCCTTGGAAACCTCGTCAGCGAGAGGGGTGGCGATGACATAGAGACGGTTGTGCTTGTTGGGAGACTTGGACAAGGCAGTGATGCTTGAGTCACTAGCAACAGTCTCACGGTAAGAGACGACAGGGGGTGAGATCTTCAATGGGACACCGGCGTGGTCCTCCTCAAGATCCTTCAAGCAAATCTCCAAGTGCAACTCACCGGCACCAGCAACGATGTGCTCACCAGATTCGGAGATGGAAGTCAAGACACAAGGGTCAGACTTGGAAAGACGCTTAAGACCTTCGACCAACTTGGGCAAGTCGTTGGCGTTCTTGACCTCGACAGCGACCCGGACGACGGGGGAGACGGAGAACTTCATGACCTTCAAGTTGTGGGCAGTCTCAGAAGTAGTAAGGGTACCAGACTTGAGCAAGAACTGATCAACACCGACCAAACCACAGATGTTACCGGCAGGGACATCTTCAATGGGCTCGATGTAACGACCCATCATAAGAATGGTACGCTGGATAGCCTTGATGAACAAGTCCTCCTTCTTTCCAGGGGTGTAGTTAGGTCCCTGAATGCGGACCTTGAGACCAGACTTGACGGTACCGGAGAAGACACGTCCGAAAGCGTAGAAACGACCCTTATCAGAGGTCGGCACCATCTTGGAGACGTACAACATGAGAGGAGCCTTGGGGTCACAGTCACGGATACCGATGCAGACATCGTCATCAGCGGGTCCCTCGTACAGGGTCTCGGCACGGTACTTCTGGGCAGTAACTGGGGAAGGAAGGTGCATGACAATCATCTCCATAAGAGCATCGGCAGCGGGCAAGAACTTCCTCATGACAATCTTGAGAAGGGCCTTTCCTTCAAGATCCCTCTCCTCAGCCTTGAGAGTAATCTCGAGCTTGGAAAGCAGGACTGGAATCTCATCCTTCTTGAAGTTCATGACAGCAGCAAAGATCTTGAAGATGGGGTCCAAGATGAACTGGTTGAAAGCACGCTCCAAAGGCTTGCCCTCGTAGTTCTCGACCTTGGTCCACTTCTTGGTCTTGGGGTTGAAGAAGTTGTCACCCTGATGTATTTGATTAGCACAAGCCCAGTATATAGAATACTTCAATGATAGCATACCCAGAGACGTTCCATCATCTTGACCTTGTCAACACCGAACTTCTTGGCGTAACGTCCAGCGAATTGACGGACAGTGAAAGCCCATCCGTGAAGACCGGAACCGAAAGCAACGGTACCCTTGTAGGGGTAGACCTGAACATCACCAAGGGTCTTGTCGAAGTATGTGGCGATGATGACGTTGACGGACTCAACAGTACGGGAGAAGGACTGGTACAAGTCCTCCTTTGAGACCTGCAACTCCAAAAGGGCACGGTCGACCTTGTTGATGATACAGACGGGCTTAATACGTTCGGAAAGAGCCTGACGCAAGACAGTCTCGGTCTGGACACAGACACCTTCAACACAGTCGACGACGACAAGAGCACCATCGGTAACACGGAGGGCAGCAGTGACTTCGGAAGAGAAATCGACGTGACCGGGTGAATCAATCAAGTTGATCAAGAAGTTGTTTCCATCGGTCTTCTGGGTGATGTCCTTGACGTCGTCCTCGCCAAGCTCAGCATAGAGGGAGATAGCTGTGGACTTGATGGTAATGCAACGATCCTGCTCGTCCTGACGAGTATCTGTGAAACGCTGCTCACCGGCCTTTGCGGCAGAAATAATACCAGCTCGTTGAACGAGGGAGTCGGTTAAAGTTGACTTTCCGTGATCGACGTGAGCAATGACGGACATGTTACGAACGTTCGTAACCTTGTCCATCAACCCACGGATCTGTTCGACAGTGAAGCTGAAATTCGTGAAAAAGACCCAGTAAGCCTTGACGTTCCCAACAAAGAATTCTACATAGCATTTGCTGCATCGAAATGGAGGAAAAACTTACTTGACCATCTTGCTGGATTTTTATATGAACCCTTTTAAAAAAATTTGTTGGACGGAAAACGAAAATTCTCGTCACTAGGTTCTTGTTAGTGGAAGAACAATATGTTCAATTGGGAGATAAAGACTTACAATGTACTGTGTCGTCCGATCGAGGGTGGAACAACAGCAGATGGAGAAGAGAAGAGAAGGGAGAGGGATGAGGGCAAGAAGGGAGGAGGGGAAAATGAGGGGTTGTGTGGGTGAGGGGTTGGCTGATTTTTGAATGCGGATGATGAGCCTCCTGATTGGTTGGAAATATAGATTACTGAGTGGGGCGATAGTTTACTGACAAATGCTCTTGTGGGCGAATTTTTTTTTCTTCCCAGGTTGATCAGAGTGACTGCTCTTCGGGGTGTCGTTGTGCAGCTGGGTAACCGCTCGCTTCCTTGCCGAACCGGGAAGGCCTGTAGTCGAGTCACGGCTAAGGATTTTCGACCCCCAGCACGTCACATAGGAGGGACAGCACTCCTACACCTGAAAACATCTCTGAGTCTAGATATGTATTTCAACTGATCGTAATGATTCTCTCGCAGCTGCAGAACCCAATAAAACAACGGCTACCTGTTCTTAAAAATACAAACTTTGATGGAGTGTGTATCTCTTATCCAACACTCATCTCGCGCACCAAACCCCACCTTCTCGCACGGACCAGTTGACCGTTATCATCAATGCCTTACATCATGCTTTGTGACG